AATGGGGGACTGGGGGACAATGGGGACACTGGGATGGAGGGGACACTGGGGGACAATGGGGGACAATGAGGGGATGGTGGGGACACAGTGATAGAGGGGACACTGGGGATGGTGAGGACAGAGGGGATACTGGGGGACAGGGGACACTGGGATGGAGGGGACACAGGGGACAGAGGTGACACTAGAGACACAGGGGGACACTGGGATAGAGGGGACAGAGGGGACACTGGGGACTCAGGGGACACAGGGGACACGGCGGGATAGAGGGATACGAGGACACTGGGGACGCAGGGGACACACGGGGATGGTGGGGACAGAGGGGACACTGGGAGGATAGAGGGGACACTGGGGACACTGGGACACGGGGATGGTGGGGACAGAGCAGAAACGGGGATAGCGATGATACGGGGACACTGGGGGATGGTGGAGTTAGAGGGGACAGAGAGGACAGAGGGGACACTGGGACACAGAGATGGCAGTGACAGCCGGGACACTGGGGACAGAGGGCACAGAGGGGACACTGGGACACAGAGATGGCAGTGACAGCAGGGACACTGGGGACGGCAGGGACAGAGGGGACACTGGGACACAGAGATGGCAGTGACAGCCGGGACACTGGGGACAGAGGGCACAGAGGGACACGGGGCTGGCGGTGCCGGGGACACGCACGGGGACAGCGCTGGGGACAGCGGCGAGACCGGCGGGACCTGGGGACAGAGACACGGGGGTGGTGACGTCATCGGGGGCTGGGGACACACACCCCCGTGTGACGTCATCAGAGCCTGGGGACACCCTGCGTGACGTCATCAGAGCCTGGGGACACTCCGTGTGAAGTCACTGGCCTGGGGACACTGATGGGGACACCGGCGGAAGCTGGGGACACCCCGCGTGACGTCACCGGAGGCCGGAGACAGCCCGTGTGACGTCACGGCGCGCCGATGACATCACCGCGAGGCGCAGCGCGCTGTGCCCGAGCTGTCCCCGCAGCCGGAACCCCCCGGGCCCGTTCCCGCCCCCGCCTCGGGACCCCTCGGGACCCCCCGGCCCCACCCCGCCCCTCCCCCACCCCAAACCCCCCCGGGACCCCCCCCCGGCCCCTCCCCCACACCTCGCTCGGCTCCCGCCGCCGCCGCTCGCTGACGTCACTTCCGCCGGTGCCGACCGGAAGTGGATCATAGAGAGGGGCCCAGAGCGGCTCCGGCCGCCATAGAGACGGGAGAGAGGCGGGGGCGCTCCCTGGCGGAGCGGGGGTGTGCGGGGCCTGATGGAGGCACAGCGGGACCCCAACGTCACCAAAGGGACCCCGATGTCACCAATGTCCCCAAAGGGACCCCCGATGTCCCCACAGGGATCCCATCAGGACCTCAATGTCTCCAATGTGCCCAATGTCCCCACAGATCCCCCAGGAATCCCCATGGGGACCCCAATGTCCCCAAAGGGACCCCCCCAATGTCCCCAGTGTCCCCAAAGGGACCTCCATGTCCCCAATGTTCCTAAAGGGACCCTCCAATGTCCCAAAAGAGACCCCCATGGGGACCCCAATGTCCCCAAAGGGGACCTCAATGTCCCCACAGGGACCCCCATGGAACCCCAATGTCCCTAATGTCCCCAGTGTCCCCAAAGGGACCCCAATGTCCCCAACGTCCCCAAAGGGACCCCACAATGTCCCCAAAGGGACCTCAATGTCCCCAAAGGGACCCCCATGGGGAACCCAATGTCACCAAAGGGACCCCACTGTCCCCATGGGGACCCCAATGTCCCCAATGTCCCCAAAGGGACCCCCATGGGGACCCCAATTTCCCCATGGTCTCCGAAGGGATCCCCCCAATGTCCCCACAATGACCCCAAAGGGACCCCAATGTCCCCAGAGACCCCCCACGGGACCCCCACGGAGCTGGAGCCCCCACACACCCTCACAGGGACCCCACGGTGGTCAGTGTCCATCCACGGTGGTCAGTGTCCATCCACGGTGGTCAGTGTCCAGCCATGGTGACCACGGTGACCCCTGTGGACCCCTGTGGACCCCTGTCCATCCATGGTGACCCACGGTGACCCCTGTCCATCCATAGTGACCCCTGTGGACCCCTGTGGACCCCTGTCCATCCATGGTGACCCACGGTGACCCCTGTCCATCCATAGTGACCCCTGTGGACCCCTGTGGACCCCTGTCCATCCATGGTGACCCACGGTGACTCCTCCTGGCCCATTTTGATCCGTGTCCATCCATGGTGACCCACGTTGACTCCTGTAGACTCCTGTTGATCCATGGTGACCCACGGTGACTCCTCTTGGCCCATCTCCATCCATCTCCATCCATGGTGACCCACATTGAACAGCTGACCCGTGTCCATCCATGGTGACCCATGTTGACCCCAGTCCATCCATGGTGATCCACATTGACTCCTCCTGGTCCACCTTGGTCTGTGTTTACCCACGTTGGCTCCTCTTGGTCCATGATGGTCTGGGTCCGTCCAGGTGATCCATGTTGGCTCCTCTTGGCCCATTTTGATCCATCTCCATCCATGGTGACCCACGGTGACTCCTCTTGGCCCATGACGGTCCATCTCCATCCATAGTGATCCACGTTGAGTCCTCCTGGTCCATGTCCTTTCATCTCCATCCATGGTGACCCACGGTGACTCCTCTTGGTCCATCTCCATCCATGGTGACCCACATTGACTGCTGTTGGCCCATGTCCATCCATCACCACCCATATTGACCCATGTTGACTCCTGTAGACCCCTGTTGATCCATGGTGACCCACGGTGACTCTTCTTGGGCCCATCTTGATCCATGTCAATCCATGCTGACTCATGTTGACTCGTTGACTCCAGTTGATCCATGGTGGTCCACCTTGACTCCTCGTGGCGCATGATGGTCTGACTCCATCCAGTTGACCCACGTTGAGTCCTCCTGGTCCATTTTGATCCATCTCCATGCATGGTGACCAACGTTGACTCTTCTTGGTCCATCTTGATACATGTCCATCCGTGGTGACCCACGGTGACTCGTTGACCCCCGCTGATCCATGGTGATCCACATTGACTCCTCATGGTCCATGTCCATCTATCTCCATCCATGGTGACCTACATTGACTTGTTGATCCCTGTTGATCCATGAGGATCTACATCGACTCCTCTTGGCCCATGGTGGCCCATCTCTATCCATGTTGGCCCATGTTGACTCCTCCTGACCCATTTTGATGCATCTCCATCCAGCTGGCCCACAGTGACTCCTCTTGGTCCATGATGGTCCATGCCCATCCATGGTGACCCATAATTGACTTGTTGACCCCTGTTGACCCATGGTGACCCACATTGCCTCCTCATGGCCCATGTCCATCCATGGTGACCCACGTTGACTCCTGTAGACCCCTGTTGACCCATGGTGATCCATGTTGACTCTTCTTGGCCCATGATGGTCCATCTTGATCCATGTTGACCTACCTTGACTTATCTTTGCCCATCCATGGTCACCCACATTGGCTCGTTGACCCCTGTCCATCCATGTTGACCCACACTGGCCAGTGGTGACCCCTGGTGACCGGTGTCACTCTGTGTCTCTCCACAGTGACCTGTGGTGACCCCTGGTGACCCCTGGTGACCGGTGTCACTCTGTGTCTCTCCACAGTGACCTGTGGTGACCCCTGGTGACCGGTGTCACTCTGTGTCTCTCCATGGTGACCTGTGGTGACCCTTGGTGACCCCTGGTGACCGGTGTCACTCTGTGTCTCTCCACGGTGACCTGTGGTGACCCCTGGTGACCCCTGGTGACTGGTGTCACTCTGTGTCTCTCCACGGTGACCTGTGGTGACCCCTGGTGACCCATGGTGACCGGTGTCACTCTGTGTCTCTCCACGGTGACCTGTGGTGACCCCTGGTAACCTGTGGTTACCTGTGGTGACCCCTGGTGACCCGTGGTGACCCCTGGTAACTCATGGTGACCCGTGGTGACCCCAGTGTCACCTTGTGTCTCTCCAGACTGACCAGTGGTGACCCATGGTGACCCATGGGGACCCATGGTGACTCATGGTGATCAGGTTGACCGCTGTTGTCTCCCCACCACACAGATGACCCCAGCGATGACCCCTTGATGACCCCATGACCCCCGGCTGTCCCCTCTGTCCCACTCAACCCCAGCCAGGGGGTCAGTGACCCCTGTGACATCACCCAGAGCCTCCACCACAGTGACGTCAGACCCAGCACTGTGACATCACACATCACAGTGACATCACATCCATCACCGTGATGTCACACACCACCGTGACGTCAGTGACGTGATAGTAAAAACTCAATAAAACCCAGTATAAACCAGTATGGACCTGTATAAACCAGTATAAACCAGTAAAAAAACCAATAAAACCGATATAAACCAATACGGACCAGTACGGACTAGTAAAAACCAGCACAGGCCAGCATAGCCAGGATTAACCAGTATAACCAGTACAAACCAGTTTGGCCCCTAGAAACCAGTATAGACCAGCATGTACCAATACAAACCAGTACAGATCAGTACAAACCAGTCAAGACCAGTACAAACCAGTACAGATCAGTATATACCAGTATATACCAATACAAACCAGTACAGACCACTACAAACCAGTCAAGACCACTGTATACCAGTATAAACTAATACAAACCAGTACAACCCAGTCAAGACCAGTACAACCCAGTCCAAACCAGTACAGACCAGTATACACCAGTACAAACCAGTACAGACCAGAACAAAACAGTAAAACTCAGTACAATCCAGTACAACCCAGTACAGACCAGTAAAACCCAGCGCAGCCCAGCACAACCCAGCAAGACCCGCTAGACCAGGCTCGAACTGGGGACTACATTACCCAGCGTACACCGCGCGCGCTTCCGGGAGGGAAAGGAGGGGCGTGGCCTGGCCCAATGAGCCGCGGCCCGATTGGCGGCGGGGAAGGCGGGAAGGCGGAGAGGGCGTGGCCTCGTGAGGCGGAGGGGGCGTGGCCTCGTGAGGCGGCGCGGCCCGGGCGTTGCGCGGCGGCGGCGGCAGCGCCGGGCCCGGTTCTGGCCCGGTTCTAACGCGGTTCTAACCCGGTCCTGGCCGGGCTCCGGCCCCGGCGGAGCCATCGTGAGCCCCGCAGGTGAGCGGAGGGAAGAAGAAGAGGAGGAGGAGGAGGAGGAAGCGGCGGGGCCGCGGCGGCGGCGCCTGCGCGGGGCGGGCCTGGAGGAGGCGGGGCCTGCAGGGGCTGAGGGGAAAGGGGCGGGGCCTGAAGGCCGTGGGGGGGGGGGCGAGGCCTTCAGAAAGGGGCGGGGCTTAGTGCCATCTGGCCACGCCTCCGGGTTGGCCACGCCCTCCGGATCGACTTTGGGGTCCCAGCTGCACACCTGGAGTAGGGCTGGGGTCTCACCTGTCCCCCCCATATTGTGTTTGGGGTCTCGCCTGCACACTTGGGATGGGGCATTGGTCTCACCTGTTCCCCTGGGTCAGATTTGGGGTCTCACCTGTGTCTGTGTCTCGTGTCCAGGATTCTACGTGCCCAACTGTACTGGGTCTGGGGTCTCACCTGTGCTGGGATTGGGGTCTCACCTGTCCCTGTGTTACCCATCTGGACTCTCGCCTGTCCCCCATGTTCCATGTCTGGGCTCTCACCTGTGTCAGGTGCAGGCTCTCACCTGTCCCTCATGTTCCATGGCTGGGCTCTCACCTCTCCCTGTGTTTGATGTCTGGGTTCTCACCTGTCTGTACATTGGGTCTGGTGTCTCACCTGTCTCAGATCTGGACTCTCAACTCTCCCCATCTGTCAGGTCCCCTGTGTCAGGTGCAGGCTCTCACCTGTCCCCCATGGTCCATGTTTGGGCTCTCAGCTGTGTCAGGTGTGGGCTCTCACCTGTCCTTGTGTTTAATATCTGTGCTCTCACATGTCCCTGCCCCAGGTCTGTGCTCTCACCTGTGTCAGCTCTGTACTCTCACCACTCCCAGGTTTGTGATCTCACCTGTCCCAGGTGCAGGTTCTCACCTGTCTCAGATTTCGGCTCTCACCTGTGTCAGGTGCAGGCTCTCACCTGTGTTAGCTCTGTGCTCTCACCTGTCCCAGCTCTGTGCTCTTACCTGTCTCAGGTTTGTTCTCTCACCTGTCCCAGGTCTGGGCTCTCACCTGCAGCCGTGTCCCCCCAGGTGCGGCCATGGCGGGCGCGGCGCCCCCCGCAGGTGCCCCCGAGCACCCCTTCACCTGCCGGGAGTGCGGCAAATCCTTCCGCTGGTCCTCGCGCCTGGCGCACCACCTGCGCAGCCACACAGGTGAGCGCCCCTACAAGTGCCCCGAGTGCCCCAAGGCCTTCAAGGGCTCCTCCGCCCTCCTCTACCACCTGCGGGGCCACACGGGCGAGCGCCCCTACACCTGCGCCACCTGCGGCAAGAGCTTCAAGCGCTCCTCGCTGCTGCAGACGCACCTGCGCGTGCACACGGGGCTGCGCGCCTTCAGGTGCGCCCAGTGCGGCCTCACCTTCAAGTGGGCGTCGCACTACCAGTACCACCTGCGGCAGCACTCGGGCGAGCGGCCCTACCGCTGCCCCGCCTGCCCCAAGGCCTTCAAGAACTCCTCCAGCCTGCGGCGCCACCGCCACACCCACACGGGCGAGCGCCCGCACACCTGCGACACCTGCGGGAAAGGTTTCGCCCAGGCCGCCAACCTGCGGCAACACCTGCGTGTGCACACGGGGGAGCGGCCGTACACCTGCGCCGCCTGCGGCAAGAGCTTCACGCACTCGTCCAACCTGCACCTGCACCGGCGCACGCACGGCCCCGCCCCGCAGTGCCCCGCCTGCGCCGCGCCCTCGGCCTCGCGCGCCTGCCCGCAGCGGCACCCGCAGGGCCCCGCCCCGCCCGGCGCCGCCTCACCTGAGCCGCTCTGGAGGCCGCTGGGGCTCACCTGTGCCGAGCAGGAGGTGCCGGTGACGCCGGCCACGCCCCCGGCCCCGCCCCACCGCTGCCTCACCTGCGGCAAGAGCTTCAAGAACGGGGCGGGGCTGGCGCGGCACCTGCCCGGGCACGAGCGGCCCCGAGCCCCGCCCGCGCCGGGCGAGGCCGAGGCGCCGGCCCCGCCCGAGCGGCCGTACAGGTGCGGCGAGTGCGGCAAGGCCTTCAAGGGCTCCTCGGGGCTGCGCTACCACCTGCGCGACCACACGGGCGAGCGCCCCTACACCTGCGCCACCTGCGGCAAGAGCTTCAAGCGCTCCTCGCTGCTGCAGACGCACCTGCGCGTGCACACGGGGCTGCGCGCCTTCAGGTGCGCCCAGTGCGGCCTCACCTTCAAGTGGGCGTCGCACTACCAGTACCACCTGCGGCAGCACTCGGGCGAGCGGCCCTACCGCTGCCCCGCCTGCCCCAAGGCCTTCAAGAACTCCTCCAGCCTGCGGCGCCACCGCCACACCCACACGGGCGAGCGCCCGCACACCTGCGACACCTGCGGGAAAGGTTTCGCCCAGGCCGCCAACCTGCGGCAGCACCTGCGTGTGCACACGGGGGAGCGGCCGTACACCTGCGCCGCCTGCGGCAAGAGCTTCACGCACTCGTCCAACCTGCACCTGCACCGGCGCACGCACTCGGCGGCGCGGCCCTTCCGCTGCCCCGCCTGCCCCAAGGCCTTCGTCGTGGCCGCCTACCTGCAGAGACACCTGCGCACGCACGGCCCCGCCCCGCGGCGCGCGCCCGGCGCTGCCGCCGCGCCCGGCGGCGCCGCGCCCGCGCCGTCGCCTGCCGGCGCTTACCTGGTGCTGCCCGGCCCCGGCGGCGCCTCCCCCCGCAAGGTGCTGCTGGTGGCGGCCACGCCCGGCCGCGCCCGGCCGCACCTGGCGCAGGTGGGCAGGGGGCAGCGCACCTGGCACGGCGTCCTGCTCATACCTGGGGCGGGCAGGGAGGGAGCGGCAGTGGGGGTGCAGGTGGCTGGGGTGACAGATGTGACAGGGGTGACAGGTGTAGATGTGACAGGTGTGGCAAGTGTGGCAGGTGTTACAAGTGCAGGTGTGGCAGGTGTTACAGGTGTAGGTGTGACAGGTGTGACAGGTGTGACAGGTGTGGGTGTGACAGGTGTGGATATGACAGGTATGAAAGGTGTGACAAGTGCATGTGTGACAGGTGTGGGTGTGGCAGGTGTGACAGGGGTGACAGGTGTGACAGGGATTACAGGTGTGACAGGTGTTACAAGTCCCGGTGTGACAGGTATGACAGGTGTTGGTATCACAGGGGTCACAGGTGTCACAGGGCTTACAGGTGTGGCAGGTGTAGGTGTGGCAGGTGTGACAGGTGTAGGGGTCCCAGGTGTCACAGGTGTCACAGGGGTCACAGGTGTCCAGCTCCAGGTGCTGCCGGTGGTCCCAGAGATCACCAATGTCCAGGTGCAGCATGGGGAGGTGACAGGTGTGACAGGTGTGACAGGTGTGACGGGTGTGACAGGTGTGACAAATGCAGGTGTGACAGGTCTCACAGGTGTGGCAGGGCTGCAGCTCCAGGTGCTGCCAGTGCCTTCAGAAGTCACCAACGTCCAGCTCCAGGCAGGTGAGGTGACCAATGTCCAGCTCCAGGTGTTGCCACCAGCTGCAGGTGGCTCAGGTGTGCAGCTCCAGGTGTTGCCACCAGCTGCAGGTGGCTCAGGTGTGCAGCTCCAGACAGGTGAGGTGACCAATGTCCAGCTCCAGGTGTTGCCACCACCACCTTCAGGTGGCTCAGGTGTGCAGCTCCAGGTGTTGCCAGCACCACCTGAGGTCACCAACGTCCAGCTCTGCACAGGTGAGGTGACCAACGTCCAGCTCCAGGTGTTGCCACCACCACCCCCAGGCGGCACAGGTGTGCAGCTCCAGGCAGGTGAGGTGACCAACGTGCAGCTCCAGGTGTTGCCACCACTACCTGAGGTGGCCAATGTCCAGCTCCAGGTGCTGCCAGCACCACCCTCAGGTGTGCAGCTCCAGGCAGGTGAGGTGGCCAATGTCCAGCTCCAGGCTCTGCCGCTGACCTCAGGTGTCACCAACGTCCAGCTCCAGGTTTTGCCACCACCCCCAGGTGGCACCAATGTGCAGCTGCAGACAGGTGAGGTGGCCAATGTCCAGCTCCAGGTTTTGCCACCACCCCCAGGTGGCACAGGTGTGCAGCTCCAGGCCACTGAGCTGCCCAGTGTCCACCTGGAGACCTCAGAAGGGACCGATGTCCACCTGGAGACCTCAGAACTGCCCAGTGTCCACCTGGAGACCACAGAGGTGACCGATGTCCACCTGGACATCTCAGAGGTGGCCAATGTCCACCTGGAGACCATGGAGGAGGTGCCCAGTGCCCACCTGGAGACCTCAGAGGTGACCGATGTCCACCTGGACGCCTCAGAGGTGACCGATGTCCACCTGAATGTGTCAGAGGTGACCGATGTCCACCTGCAGACCACCGTGATGACCAGTGCCCACCTGGAACCCACAGAGGTGCCCGGTGCCCACCTGGACACCTCAGAGCTGCCCAGTGTCCACCTGGAGACCGCAGAGGTGACCGATGCCCACCTGGACATGTCAGAGGTGCCCAGTGTCCACCTGGAGAGCTCAGAGCTGCCCAGTGCTCACCTGGAGACCACAGAAGTGACCAATGCCCACCTGGCAACCAGTGACACAGCTGATGTCCACCTGGACACATCAGAGATGACCGATGCTCACCTGGAGACCTCAGAACTGCACAGTGCCCACCTGGACACCTCAGAGGTGACCGGTGCCCACCTGGAGACCACTGAGGTGACCGATGTCCACCTGGAGCCCATGGAGGAGGTGCCCAGTGCCCACCTGGACACCTCAGAGGTGACCAGTGTCCATCTGGAGACCTCAGAGGTACCCAGTGCCCACCTGGACATGCCTTGTGTCCACCTGGAGACCACCGAGGAGGTGATGGATGCCCACCTGGAGACCAACGAGATGACCAATGCCCACCTGGACACCTTGGCAATGACCAGTGTCCACCTGGAGGTGCCTGGTGCCCACCTGGACTCATCAAAAATGCCCGGTGCCCACCTGGAGCCCACAGAGGTGCACCTGGAACCCCCCTAGGAGGTGACCGATGCCCACCTGGAGACCTTGGAGGTGCCCAGTGCCCACCTGGAAGTGCCCAGTGTCCACCTGGAGACCATGGACATGCTCGATGCCCACCTGGGTGTGTCAGAGGTACCCAGTGCACACCTGGACACAACTTGGAGATGACCAGTGTCCACCTGGAGACATCAGAGGTGTCCTCTGCCCACCTGGAGACACCTTGGAGGTGCCCAATGTTCACCTGGGTGTGTCAGAAGTGCCCAGTGCCCACCTGGAGAGCATGCAGGTGCCCAGTGCTCACCTGGGCGCACCTTGGAGATGACCAATGTCCACTTTGGCATGTCAGAGGTGCCCTCTGCCCACCTGGACACACCTTGGAGATGTCCAGTGTCCACCTGGAGACACCTTGGAGCTGCCCAGTGCCCACCTGGGCATGTCAGAGGTGCCCAGTGCTCACCTGGAGACCATGGACATTCCCAATGCCCACCTGGACATGTCAGAGGTGCCCAGTGCTCACCTGGACACACCTTGGAGCTGCCCAGTGTCCACCTGGAACCCACCGAGAAAGTGCCCAGTGCCCACCTGGACACACCTTGGACATGACAAGTGTCTACCTGGATGTGCCCTCTAGCCACCTGGACATGCCAGAGGTGCCCAGTGCCCACCTGAAGACCATGGGCATGCTCAGTGCTCACCTGGACACACCTTGGAGATGCCCACTGCCCACCTGGAACCCACCAAGAAAGGTCCCAGTGCTCACCTGGAGACCACACAGGTGCCCAGTACTCACCTTGGAGGTGCCCAGTGCCCACCTGGAGACCCCCCCAGGTGCTCCTGGCCTGGGGGACCCCGTGCCCCACACCTGTGCCCACAGGTGAGGGAGGTGCCAGGGGGTACCTGAGGGGGTACCTGGGCTCACCTGCCCAGGTGAGGGGTACCAGGGGTTACCTGAGGGGGTACCTGAGCTCAGCTGTCCAGTTGGGGTGTGCCAGGAGGTACCTGATGGGTGCCAGGGGGTACCTGAGGGGGTATCTGGGGGTACCTGGGGGGGTACCTGAGGGGGTACCTGAGCTCACCTGCCCAGGTGAGGGGTGCCAGGGGGTACCTGGGGGTACCTGGGAGGTGCCAGGGGGTACCTGAGGGGTGCCAGGGGGTACCTGAGCTCACCTGCCCAGGTGAGGGGTGCCAGGGGGGTACCTGGGGGTACCTGAGCTCACCTGCCCAGGTGAGGCCGTTCCCGCGTTCCCCCCATTTCAATAAAGGTGCCCCTCCCTTCCCCCCCCAGTTCTGTTTGTGCTTCCTGGATGGGCAGGGCCAAGGGAGGGGGCGGGGCCATGACCAAGGGGAGTGGCCAAAGGAAGAGGCGGAGCCAGGGCCAAGGGGAGGGAGGGGCTAAAACAAGGGGAGGAACCAAAGGATGGGGTGGGGCCAATGGAGGCGGGGCCAAAAAGGCAAAAGGTGGGAGGGGCCAGTGGGAGTGGGCGGGGCCAAGGGGGTTATTGGGAATGGGGGCGGGGCAGTTTAGCGGCCAGTCCATCCCAGTATGGTCCCAGTGATTCCCAGTACGTCCCAGTATGGGTCTGGTATTGTCCCAGTATGGCCCCAGTATGGCCCAGTATGGCCCCAGTATGGCCCCAGTATAGTCCCAGTATGGCCCCAGTATGGCCCCAGTATGGGTCCGGTATTGTCCCAGTATGGTGCCAGTATAGTCCCAGTATGGTGCCAGTATAGTCCCAGTATGGCCCCAGTATGGCCCAGTATGGCCCCAGTATAGTCCCAGTATGGCCCCAGTTTGGTCCCAGTATGGCCCCAGTGTGGTCCCAGTATGGCCCCAGTATGGCCCAGTATGGCCCCAGTATAGTCCCAGTATGGCCCCAGTTTGGCCCCAGTGTTGTCCCAGTATGGCCCCAGTATGGCCCAGTATGGCCCCAGTATGGCCCCAGTTTGGCCCCAGTATGGCCCAGTATGGCCCCAGTATGGCCCCAGTGTGGTCCCAGTATAGTCCCAGTATGGCCCCAGTATGGCCCCAGTATGGGTCTGGTATTGTCCCAGTATGGTGCCAGTATAGTCCCAGTATGGCCCCAGTATGGCCCCAGTGTGGTCCCAGTATGGCCCCAGTATGGCCCCAGTATGGCCCCAGTATGGCCCAGTATGGCCCCAGTATGGCCCCAGCATGGCCCCAGTATGGCCCAGTATGGCCCCAGTGTGGTCCCAGTATGGCCCCAGTACGGTCCCAGTATGGCCCCAGTATAGTCCCAGTATGGCCCAGTATGGCCCAGTATGGCCCCAGTATAGTCCCAGTATGGCCCCAGTATGGCCCAGTATGGCCCCAGTATGGCCCCAGTTTGGCCCCAGTATGGCCCAGTATGGCCCCAGTATGGCCCAGTATGGCCCCAGTATAGTCCCAGTATGGCCCCAGTATGGCCCCAGTATGGCCCAGTATGGCCCCAGTATGGCCCCAGTATGGCCCCAGTATAGTCCCAGTATGGCCCCAGTTTGGACCCAGTATGGCCCCAGTATGGCCCCAGTATAGTCCCAGTATGGCCCCAGTTTGGACCCAGTTTGGCCCCAGTATGGTCCCAGTATGGCCCCAGTATGGCCCCAGTATAGTCCCAGTATGGCCCCAGTATGGCCCCAGTATGGCCCCAGTATGGCCCAGTATGGCCCCAGTATGGCCCCAGTGTGGCCCCAGTATGGCCCAGTATGGCCCCAGTATGGCCCCAGTATGGCCCAGTATGGCCCCAGTATGGCCCAGTATGGGCCCAGTATGGCCCCAGTATGGCCCCAGTATGGCCCAGTATGGCCCCAGTGTGGTCCCAGTATGGCCCCAGTACGGTCCCAGTATGGCCCCAGTATGGCCCAGTATGGCCCCAGTGTGGTCCCAGTATGGTCCCAGTATGACCCCAGTATAGCCCAGTATGGCCCAGTATGGCCCCACTGATTCCCAGTATGGCCCCAGCCCATCCCAGTATGGCCCAGTATGGCCCCAGTATGGCCCCAGTGTGGTCCCAGTATGGTCCCAGTATGACCCCAGTATAGCCCAGTATGGCCCAGTATGGCCCCACTGATTCCCAGTATGGCCCCAGCCCATCCCAGTATGGCCCATTATGGGTCTGGTACTGTCCCAGTATGAGTCTGGTATGGTCCAGTATAGCCCCGTATGGGTCTGATATTGCCCCAGTATGTCCCAGTATGGCCCAGGTCCCCTCCCAGTTTTTCCCAGTTTATCCCAGTCCCCCCTAGTCCCTCCCAGTCCCTCCCAGTTTATCCCAGTCTATCCCAGTTCCCTCCCAGTCCCTCCCAGTTTATCCCAATATATCCCGGTTCCCTCCCAGTCCCTCCCAGTCCATCCCAGTCCCTCCCAGTCTCTCCCAGTCCCTCCCAGTCCATCCCAGTTCCCCGGCCCCCCCGGGTGGGGGAGGGGCGCTGGCACGGGGCCCGGTGGGGGAGGGGCAGGGCCAGGGACAGGTGCGGGGGGACCGAAATAACCTGGGGGGGGGGGGGGAACTGGGGGGGACTGGGAGGGACTGGGAGGGACTGGGAGCGCTGAACTGGGCTGTACTGGTCCCTACTGGTTTATACTGGCCCATACTGGTTTATACTGGTCTGTACTGGTTTATACTGGTCTGTACTGGTTTATGCTGGCCCATACTGGTCCACACCGGCTTATACTGGTCCAGACTGGTTTATACCGGTCCATACTACTCCATACTGGTTTATACTGGTCTGTACTGGTCTATACTGGTTTATACTGGTTTGTACTGGTCCAGACTGGTCTGTACTGGTTTATACTGGTCCAGACTGGTCTGTACTGGTTTATACTGGTCCAGACTGATCTGCACTGGTTTATACTGGTCCATACTGGTCCATACTGGTTTATACTTGTCTGTAACAGTCCGTACTGGTCCCTACTGGTCCGTACTGGTCTCTACTGGTTTCTACTGGTCCATACTGCTCCATACTGGTTTATACTGGTCCGTACTGGTCCATACCGGTCCATACTTGTCCATACTGGTCCGTACTGGCCCATACTGGTTTATACTGGTCCGTACTGGCCCATACTGGTTTATACTGGTTCCATACTGGTTTATACTGGTCCATACTGGTTCCATACTGGTCCGTACTGGTCCATACTGGTTTATACTGGTCCGTACCGGTCGCTCCGTTCTCTCCCCGCTCTGACCCAGGAGGAATTTGAGGCCGCCCCTCCCCCGCCTGGCCACCTGTGCCTGCGCTAATTAGTGGTGATTAATGAGCGGGATTGATTACAGCGGGTGATTAATGACCGAGGGGAATGATTAATTACCGTGGGGAATGATTAATTACCGAGAGGAATGATTAATTACCAGGGATTGATTACCGGGAGTGATTAATTGCCGGGAGGAATGATTAATGACCGGGATTGATTACCGGGAATGATTAATTACTCGGAGGAATGATTAATGAGCGGGAGGAATGAATAATTACCCGGAGGAATGATTAATTATCTGGGGGGATTGATTAATTACCAGGACCAATTATTAATTACTGAGAAAAATTATTAATTACTGGGACGAATGAATAATTACTGGGAGGAATGCTTAATTACCGAGGAATGCTTAATTACCGGGAGCAATGATTAATTACCCTGGATTGATTACCGGGAGTGATTAATGACCAGGAGGAATGATTAATTACCGGGAGGAATGATTAATTACCAGGGAATGATTAATGACCAGGGATGGTCCGTGACGGCAGAGCAGGGGTTAATTAGCGGCTGGCGTTAATTAGCGGGCGCTGTTAATGAGCCGAGACTCGGTGGTGCGGGGGGGAACTGGGATGGACTGGAACGGACTGGGCTGGGAGCACTGGGATGGGCTGGAACAGACTGGACTGGGAGCACTGGGATGGACTGGGAGCATTGGGCTGTACTGGGATGGACTGGGCTGAACTGGGAGCACTGAACTGGGAGCGCTGGGATGGACTGGGAGCACTGAACTGGGATGGGCTGGGATGGACTGGGAGCACTGGGATGGACTGGAACGGACTGGGCTGAACTGGGAGCACTGGGATGGACTGGAACGGACTGGACTGGGAGCACTGGGATGAACTGGGAGCATTGGGCTGTGCTGGGATGGACTGGGCTGAACTGGGAGCACTGGGCTGAACTGGGATTAACTGGGAGCACTGGGAAGGAACTGGGATGAACTGGGATTAACTGGGAGTGCTGAACTGGGAGCACTGGGCTGAACTGGGAGCACTGAACTGCATGTACTGGGAGCACTGGGATGGACTGGGAACACTGAACTGGGGGCACTGGGATCAACTGGGGCACTGGGAGCGCTGGTATGAACTGGGAGCGCTGGTATGAACTGGAATGGACTGGGCTGTACTGGGAGCACTGAACTGGGCTGAACTGAACTGAACTGGGAGCACTGGGCGGAACTGGGGGCACTGAACTGGGATGGACTGGGCTGAACTGGGAGCACTGGGCTGAACTGGGTGCACTGAACTGGGATGACTGAGCTGAACTGGGAGCACTGGGATGGACTGGGAGTACTGGGATGGACTGGGCAATACTGGGAGCACTGGGATAAACTGGGCTGAACTGGGATTAACTGGGAGTGCTGAACTGGGATGGACTGGGATGAACTGGGAGCACTGGGATGAACTGGGAGTACTGGGCTGGACTGGGCTGAACTGGGAGCACTGAACTGGGATGGACTGGACTGAACTGGGATCACTGGGATGAACTGGGATGGACTGAACTGGGAGCATGGGCATGGACTGAACTGGGCTGAACTGGGAGCACTGGGATGGACTGGGCTGAACTGGGA